GCGCAGTCTTGGACAAGGGAATGAACAGAGGCACTTCACGCCTGTGCATTTTATTTTATAGCAAGGTAAAAATATGCATCTCTTCGCCCCGGTTCACTCGGAATCAAAGTAACTGTAGCTGTTATTTTCCCATTCCCAGCGCTCCAGGGCCCTCCAGGCTATGCCACCAATAATTCCAAGGATCCCCAACACCAAGGTATGCCCAGCATCCCTCCTCCTGGGCCAGGCCAGCGACCTCAAAGATGGGGTCTTTGGGGGGAGCCCCTATGGCACTGAGCCCAGAACCAGGCATCACGGAGCACCGGATGGCAGAGGTAATCCTTTGTAAACCAGACACTGCCGGGAGCTGTGACCTGGGCGGGTTCCCGGGCTCAGACACTCGCAGAGCCCCTCCCCTTCCCCACGTGTCCCGGCGGTTGCCTGAGGAGGACTTTCAGCCGTGTGGGCGGCGGCCGCAATTCCAGGGAATAGGAGCGGGCAGGCGGGGCAGATGGAAGCAATTACCGGCGGGAAAGCGGAGAGGCGCGGGGTTGGGAGGGGCCAGCAGGGAAGGAGGGAGCTAGGGAGGAGTAGCGCCCTGGCCTGCCTCACTGCAAGGGATGAGAAGCCCAGCTCTGGGCTAGACTTCAGTTCAGGCAGCATAGAGAGGCCCGGGTTTGTATTTCCCCCTTTCACAGTAAATCACCGTGACCCTGACATCTTTCTTTCCCCATCCCTGATGGGACTGGTTAAGACAAGCTCCAGCTAGGAAGTGGAGAAAACAGGGCTGAAAAGTGCAGGCGCTGGAAACAGGTCCCACTCCCAGCTCCACAGTTTATGAGTGGTGTGACCTTGGTAGAGTAATTTTCATCTTCCCCAGCCTGTTTCATTTACAAGCGGGCTTCATTTACAGAGGCTTACAGGGGGTGGCACAGAGTCTACTGGGCGGCATCCCCTCCCCTCCCTGGTTAGCAGTTTTCCACTAAATGGCGTGACTTTGTGTCCGTGAGCACGCCGCTGTGGACACATACCACAGCATATACGTGGAGGTCAAAGGACAATCTCAGCCTTTCCCCTTGTTTGAGACAAGGTCTCTTTGTTGTTCACTGCACATGCCAAAGCTAGGTGGCTCTCCGGCTTCCAGCCAGGCTCCTGTCTCTAGCTCCCACCTCACTATAAGAGTACTTGGATTACAGAGGCACACTACCCAGTCTGGCCTCCCATAAGTCTAGGGGACTCACTCAGGCCCCTCATGCTTATAAGTAGCAAATGCTTTATCCACCGAAGCATCTTGCTAGCCCTAATTTGTTTGTTTGTTGTTGTTTGTTTGTTTGTTTTTTTTGAGACAGGGTTTCTCTGTGTAGTTTTGGTGCCTGTCCTGGATCTCGCTCTGTAGACCAGGCTGGCCTCAAACTCACAGAGATCTGCCTGGCTCTACCTCTTGAGTGCTGAGATCAAAGGCGTGCGCCCGCCCCTACCGCCGCTGCCACCGCCACCACCACCACCCGCCTCCTAATTATTTTTTTGAGTCAAAATCTCATGTAATTCAGGCTGGCCTCCAGCTTGCTGGTCCTCCTGCCCCCAACCTCCAAAATACTAGGATTACAAGGATGAGCCACCATGTCTGGTTCTAAGTCCCTTTTCATTATAACATTATGCTTTGGTGGGAGAGGACACATCACTACAGCTACAGTAGAACTCACACCTGAAAGATTTGGGTCCAAAGCAGAAACACTGTGTTTCGGCTCAGCACTTGCAAAACTGGTCCCTGGACTCTTCAAGCTGCTTCCCTTCAAAGATGAAAGCAAGATCCTAGAGCCCCTGACTCCAGAACAGGCCTGAGCAAAGTTGCAGGCAGGAGGAAAGGACTATCCTCAAGCTCCAACCGCTCACACTCACCAAGCATCTAATCAGACCCATGCCTCACCTCATTCTTAGCAGCAGCACCCTCCTCCCTGGCCGGCCTGAAGCAGATCCCAGGGCTTCAGAATCTAGACAGTCATATCAGCCTTCCGCACAGCAGCTTTGGAGGTCACAAGCTGTGCTTGTGGACACCCATACCCTGAAAGCCACAGCCCAACACAACCTTTGGGTGGATCTCAGAACCGGCTGTGGCTGAGACTTGAGCAGTCTCTGAGGCCGCATGTGACCACCACCTCCACCTGCATTAGTCAGACACACCTCAGGAGTGTAGGTGTCGGGGGTGTCAAGGGGGACACTCTTCCCCTCCTAGCGGGGCTCTGAACACTCACACAGTTGCGCTCAAGCTTCTCTGGGAGAGGTCGATGAAGGGAGGTGTAGGCTAATGACTACAGCCTCGTCCTAGCCATTTCCTTGTGGAAACTAAAAACTTCCGGTCAAAGCCAGGGGTCTTTAGGAAGAAGGAGGGTCGTGAGGGCCGGAGGAAAGAGACGCGGAGCTCTGTCACCCAGCACCAGCTCACTGCAGGGAAGAGGGACTCCACACTAGGGAATGGAGAAGGGAGAGTGAACCCCACTTGCCCGGCCTCCGACGTCCAATGTCTATCTCCCAGCAGCTGCAGCTCTGCTTTGATCAAAACCTGTAGGTTCAGCCTTCAGACCTTCCTAGGGCCCCATCCTCGCTCCCGAAGCCCGAGTCTGACAGCTTACAATTGCTTGGTACCATCTGAAGCAGAGTGGTGTCCTCTCTCCAATGCATGGTGCAAACCCTGGACCACTATGACAGGAGGGGTTCTCTACTTCATTGGGCAGCCTTGGAGCAGGGACTGTGAGGAGAGGACAGAGGCCCAGAGTAGCCTGCAGAGCAAGGACAGATGCCAGCCCCATGGAGTAACTGCAGACTGACTGGCCATGACTCAAGAGGGTGCTAAAAAGTGGGACCGACCTCTCTGTTCCTCCCTACCCAGGGAAGAAAGGAGGTTCTTCCCAGGAACTTTGACAATTCCAGAAATGGGCAGATTCGTAGTTCTACCCGGAAAATGAAATCCCATGAGACCGAAACAGCTGGCAGGGTAGAGGGGCCAAGGCACTCCGTGGGTGAGTCACTGCTTCAGGGAAGGAGCAAGGGAGGGAAGGGAAGACAGCCTAGCAGGCACCAGGGGCTTCCTCACCCCCAGCCTCCAATCCTAGGGCAACGGGGGCTTCCTCTCTCTGAGCAGCGACCCACAAGATGCCCTTCAGTCTAGAGGCTATGCAGGCAACTTTGAAAAAAAAAATGTGTATGAGTGTTTTGCCTGCATGTACTTATGTGCACTACATGCACGCCTGGTGCCTGTAGAAGCCAGAAGAGGGTGTCAGATTCCCTGGAACTGGAATTAGCTCTTCTACAGGTATCTGAGAATGGAGCCCGGGGCCCCTGCAAGACCACCCAGTGCTCTTAACCACTGAACCATCTCTCTAGCCCCAGAAGGGGGTTATTGAGACAGGGTCTCAAGTGGCCTCCTTTGGCCTCAAACTCCATATGGAGCAGAAGATGACCTTGAACTGATCTACCAGCCCAGTGCTGGCATCCCATCTCCTGAGTGCTGGGATATAGGCATGTACCACCATGGTAAGTTTAGACAGCATGGGGGATCAAACTTGACAGACAGCCAAGCACCTTAACAAATGCATCCTTTATCTCCCCCCCCCTCCCCAGTACTGGGATTGTAGGCAAATGTTCCGCCACACCCCCAGTTCCTAATTTACTTTTATGACTTCGGTCTACATCCCTCTCTTTATCTCCACTATCACCTTGAAGTCTTTGGGGGCTGGCCCCAACTCCTGGCTGGCCCCGAAGGAGTGCAGGGTTTCACTAAGCAGCCAAAGGTGCTCTCTCTATGCAACAGGATAGGCCATGAGGGGTGCTCAGAGGAGGGGCGGAGGCAGAAAAAGTTCAGGAAAGGTGGGTGGCCTCAGCTTTCTCAGAGGGCATTTGCAGGCCAACTGCCAACAAAGCAAAACATGTCGAGTTATTTCCCACACTCTAAGTAACTGGCACCTTCTAGGCAGCACTCTAGGACTGCCTGGGAAAGTAAGGTTATAGATGTCGTTTCAATAGCAAATACACAACCCTTCCTCTGCGCCAGGACTTTCCAAAGTACTTACTTTACACACGTCAGTTTGTTTAAAACTTCCTGGGTAGAGGCCTGGAGGGGCCAAGTAGATCTGTAGAACTGGTCCTGCCCTGTGGTATAGGTTCATGCCCCTGTGAGAGACAACCTATACCCCTAGCCTGCAGGCAGTACTAGCCTTCTAATTCTGGTCCTGGGGATCCAGCCCGGAGAATGAAGAACACAGCAGATCGGGCCTTATAAACCAGAAAAGTCTACGCCCCCTCTTTTTTTTTTTGGACTGGGAATGGCAGACACATTGGCATCTAGGGTCTGCCCAGAGGTCCCAGCCAGCAAGGATCTCAGAGAGGCACCCAGAACAGACATGACAAGGGTTTTGGTCCCCCACCCACCCCAGCTCTAGCTCAACCTATTCAGTCCTATTCCTTCCCAGTGTCCACCACCCAGACAACTTCGAAGCACAGCTGCCTAGGCCCAAAGACGCCCTCATATCTCGGCTGACTCCTTAGACATAACCAGCCTGCAGTTGGCAAGCCCACCTTCGGGCTTTGCTCAGCGACCTTGCGACTCCAGCACAAGGCAGACCCTGCAAGGCTTGTCACCTCTAGCAAAGCCAGCCCACATGTCCTGGACTTCAGAGGATGCTAGAGGTGGTGGACACCTATTCAGCCTGGGCGCAGGAGCGACAGGGGTAGGGGTTAGAAACTTTGCGAAGGATTGTCCTGTTTGCTCACTCCAAGAGAGCGAGACGAATCAGGCTTCCCGCGAAAATCCAGTCTAGGAAAAAAAAAAAAAAAAAAAAAAAGACCCAGCTCCCCGGGGCTGTGGCCGCCCCACATCGACCCCGTGCAGCGTGGCGTCCACGTGCCGGGCCCGACCACCTCCCCAAGCCGTGGCGCGAGGCTGGCGCCCCGGCCGCCCCGGCAGCCCCGACGCTCCCCGCCCTCCGCCGCCGCGGGGCCCCAGAGCCGGGCCGCCGCGTACTCACCCTTGCGGGTGGAGCGGGGCGGGGCGAGGTAGATCCGCGCGCAGCTCCGATCCGCTAGGCGCCCGTGCTGGCGGGGCAGCACTGGCGCAGCGGCTCCGCTCGGCCCGGTCCCTGTCCCGGGAGCGGGGCCGGCCTGGGAGCGGGCAAGTCCTCCTGAAGGGGAGGCGGGGGCCGGGGCTCGGGCGGGGGGCGGGGAAGGGGCCGGACACGCTTGCGCACACGGCCGGGAAGCCGACTGCCGAGAACGCGGCGCTGGAGGGAGGGCGCGCCGAGGGAGGGAGGGCGCGGTGGAAGGAGGGCGCTAAGGAGGGAGGGTGGGCGCGCGCAGGAGGGAGGGCGGGGGCGCGAGGCCCCCAGACGGCTGGGGTTGGTGTGTGGAGGCCTCCGAGGGTCCGGAGAGAAGCGCCCGGGGTGCCCGGGTGCGGGAGGCCGGATCGGGTGAGGGCAGGCCCAGGGCGAGCGCTGCCCGTGACTGGCGCCAAGATGAGTATGCCCAACGTCGTGATCCCGCACTCTCCTGGGAACAATAAGGCCCAAGAAAGGCTTCTTTGCTGTCCCCGCGCGGTGAAAAGTGTCCTTTTCTCTCTACTGTAACTGAGCTACAGGAGTGGGAGTCCGTCCTTCCAATATACCCCCATGCCCTCATGGCAGTCAGCTGACCTAAACCGATTGGCGGGCCTTGCCTCTGTCCCAGGCTGGCCCGGGCGCCCCAAACTGCCCCCTCTGCACCCTCCCTTGTATAGCCTGCCTTAGCCTCGGATAACTTCTCAGTTTCCGTTCTTGCTGAAGGCGCCAGGCATCCTGTCTCCAGGGGAAACCCCATCAAGTCTTTAACCCTGATTCCTTGGGCTCTAGAATTGCCTAGACTGAAGAACAGTGCAGAAACCACCCCGCCTGCAGGACTGACCTCTTCAGGAGTCAGCAGCGTTACCCAGTTTCTAGCACCAAGGAAAACCTGTGGCACCAAGGAAAGTGTCAGATCCAGTCCTTGTCCTCAGGAAGCTTACTGTCCAGCTGCAGAGAGAAGACTTAGGCTGGACTCCCTTCAAGAACCAGGCGGCACAGGATGTGACTACATTCAAGATATGAAAAACTGACAGTAAGTGCCCAGGGTTCCAGTGAAGTAGCGGTTTAGTCATCTTCAGGGGAAGCTGGAGGTCTTACGTGATGGGAACCTCCAGTTCACAAGTTCTGCTTTGTAGAAACAAAATGAAGAGTCAGCTTCTAGCTTCTTCCATTGGTGACGGTTCCCACCTAAATTATACCTTGCACGGGCAGAAGCTCTTTGGCATCTCACCAAAGCCTAGTTTTATTTGAATGGTGCCTTTGGCCTGCCGGTCACGTATTCATTCAACAAATATTTATTACATATCATGTCCTGTAACTAAGCTGGGAAGAGAGAACACAATAACTCTGTCTTCTGTGTTGGGCAAGTCAAAAAGAAGAAGAAGGAAGATTCCTATTTTGCAAAAGAAAAACTGCCCCAGGAGAAACAGCAGCTGCCCTGAGTGGATAGATGTGTGTAGCAAGCTGATCCAAGAAACAGCCCAGCCTCCAAACTTAGCTCAGTCTTCACCAAAGTAGGTTCGAAGACAAGTTCACACTTCTTGCTAAGGACCATGGAAAAATCCTCATGCCTTTAAAATTGAGCTGAAAGGAATCGGCTTTTTTTGCTCCTGGAGACCTGAGTTCCAATCTTGCCTCTGCCACTAAATACCTTTCCTTTTCTTACTAGAAAAAGAAAAATCAATGGAAATAACTGGGCTTATTCAAAGGGCTATTGTTAGTACTGAATGAAGCAATGGAGGTGAACTTGCCCTGAAATCACAATATGATATGTATAGTTATACTCTTATTAAACATGCAAAAAAAAAAAAAAAAAAGCCAGGCAGTGGTGGCGCACACCTTTGATCCCAGCACTCCGGAGCCAGAGGTAGACAGATTTCTGTAAGTTGGAGGCCAGCCTGGTCTACAGAGTGAGTTCCAAGACATCCAAGGCTACACAGAGAAACCCTGTCTCGAAATAAATAAATAAATAAATAAATAAACAAACAAACAAACAAATGCAAAAGAGTACTTTTTTGTTGTTGAAAAAGTATTTTTAATAAAAATACATTTTAAAATTTTATTTTACTTAGTTAACTTTTTTTTCCTCATTTATTTTACATATGGACCACAGTTTCCCCTCCCTCCTCTCCTCTAGTTCCCTCCATCTCTGGTCTACCCCCCTCCCTATCTATTCCTCCTCTGTCTCCAGGCTGGGTGAAGTAATCCAAAATGGGAAACAAGTTCCCAAAAGCCAGCCAAGCGCCTGATCCCACTGCTAGGAGCCCTACAAACAGACCAAGCTACACATCTGTCACACACATGCAGAGGGCCTAGGTCGGTCTCATGCAGGCTCCCTCACTGTCGGTCCAGACTCCATGTGCTCCACAAGCTCAGGTCAGCTGTCTCGGTGGGTTCCCCCATCATGACCTTGAACCCCCTGGCTCATATAATCCCTCCTCCCTTTCTTCAGGAGGACTCCCAGAGCTTGACCCAATGCGTGGCTGTAGATCCCTGCATCTGCTTCCATCAGTTACTGGATAACGGCTCTCTGATGACAATTAGGATAGTCACCAATCTGATTACAGGAGAAGGCCAGTCAGGCACCCTTTCTGCTATTGCTAGGGGTCATAGCTGGGGTCCTCCTTGTGGATTCCTGGGAGTTTCCCTCGCACCAGGTTTCTCCCTAACCCCAAAGAAGAATACCCTTTTAACTTACAAAATGCATTCCAACCACAACCTCCTAGCCTATCCCAGTCCTGATCATCTACTTTAGGGCACTGTGTATTTATGACATTTCCCTTCCACTTCCTCCATTTTTTTTTTTTTTAAAGATAGTCTCACTATCCTGGCTGACCTCAAACTTGTGATCCTCCTGCCTTAGCCTTCTGAGAACCAAAATTACAGGTGTTCCACCATGCCAGGCTTCCCGTCCAGTTTCTTAACAGTATAGATAGAAGCTGAGCCAGTAATCTTTAAAAAAGCCCCTGTGTCTTTTGTGGAAGAGAAAGGAGCAATTCTCCCCCCCACCTCCCGGGGGAAAAAAAAAGGTGGGCTGCCTGTCCTAGAACTGGCTTTGTAGTAGACCAGGCTGGCCTTGAACTCACAGAGATCCGCCTGGTTCTGCCTCCCGAGTGCTGGAATTAAAGGTGTGTGCCACAACCACCTGGTGAGGGGGAGCAATTCTAATACACAGGTACTCTTTCATCCTAGACCCTGGGTTCTAGGTCCTCACCAATCCCACTGCAAACCCTTAACAGAACACTACAAGCTGCTTACCAAGAGGCAGGGGGGTAACAATCAGGGCTCTGGCCTGGAGGGAAGGTTCCTCAGGTTAGCTGTGCTGAGGTGGCCGAGACAACCTTCAGAATAACATCAGGGAGTCCTACTCAGCTGGTAAACAGTACCACCTCCAACCCCATGCCTTTGCCTCCTTTACCTCTTCTTCTGTTCTCCTACAGTAGACATGGAGAACACCTGACTGCTGGGACAACCGTGGGACTCTCAAACAGAGGGAGGAGACAGGGGAGGAAGGGTGTGAGAAGGGGCAGGTGCATCTGGGCCTGGGAAGCTCAGTCCCCAAGGCTCCTCCTGGACAGGCAGCTGCCTGAGAAATGTGCCTGCCAGACTTCCGGCTCCTGTCCCTCATATGTGCCACATTCACATCCTGCCTACCCGGAGGAAGGGACAGCAAGATACCATTTGAGGAAGAAACAAACCCAATCCAGCATCTCAGCCGCTTTTAAAAATAGCAACCCCAGGATGGTATTTCAGCTCCTATTTTTATCAGATTTATATGGCTGGACCATGGAGCTCGTCTGTTCTCAGGGATCTTTGTAACAGGGGACATCTCTATTGTAGTATTAGAAACCTGCCAGGAAGCCGAGGCTAAAATGCATTTCAGGAACTTTTAGGTTGGAAGAAATCCCAAGAAGTCATTGCATGTGGCCCTGCCTATTTTTAGGGACGCAATCAATCAACCACAGTTTGTGACTTTTTCCCTTAAAATCTAAGCTGGGTAAGCTGAGGCAGGAGGATCATGAGAAGTGGTAGTCTGTGGTAGTCTGAATTTACATAATTAGCCCTCATAATCTCATAGAGAGTGGCACAATTAGGAGGTGTGGTCTTGTTGGAGGAAGTGTGTCACTGCGGAGGCGGGCTTTGAGGTCTCATACATGCTCAGGACTTACCAAAATAGGATAGATAATGAAATTATTTTATCTGAATTTGCCAAATACAAATGGACTAGACATTGTTTAGGTATTTATTACTTGTATATATTGTATATAGTTATTGTACTTTTGTATATAGTTTTTCTTTTGTTAGTTATAACCTGTCCAGTGTCTCAGTTGACTTCCTGTTGCTTGCAAGATGTAGGATTCTCAGCTACTTCTCCAGCACCATGTCTGTCTGCACACCTCTATACTCCCCACCACGATGATAATGGACTGAACCTCTGAACTGTAAGTCGCCACCTCAATTAAATGTTTTCTTTTATGAGTTGCCATGGAAATGGTGTTTCTTCACAACAATAGAAACCCTAAGGCTTAAGCCAACCCAGATTATAGACCATGTCTCAAAAACACCTGGGCATGGTAGTAGAACACTAATAGCATTGAGGATGCTGTTTGTCATGGCCTAATCACCTCCCAAGGGCCCTGTTTCTAATACTGTCCCCTGAGATGTTAGAATATTAACACATAGAGGCTATAGCAAGTATCTAGCCCCCCAAATCTTTCCTTCTAGATCACTTTCATGGCAAAAAAATAGCTAAAATTTTACTATGCTTAAAATATTTTTAAAAACAACTATGCGTATAGATGCCATGTGAGTCCCTGCAGAGACCAGAAGAAGGTGTGGGATCCCCTGGAACCAGAGTGACAGATGGTGTGAGCTGCCATATCAGTGCTGGGAATCAAACCCAGGTCCTCGGGAAGGCAGCCAGTGCTCTTAACCAGTCATCTCTCCAGCCCCTCAGCCAGCCATCCTTCTATTGAATCCTCACATGGAATAGGCATGGTTGTCACCCTATTTTATGAGCAGCATGTAAACTGCTCCAGAGTATACTTGTGTATGGTGCAGAGTCCATGTTGGAACCACCAGACTGCTTTGCTTCCCAAGCCCA